GGAAATTCGCGAACTTGTCCAAGGGCATAACAGGTCTGTATTTAAGCTTCATGCCGGACTCACAGACCCCACATTCTGTGGGGGACTGCAGTTATCATTAGACCTAAGTAAAGCCTATGATAGGTTACCTCGGGCTTGCCTCTATCAATCCCTACTGCGGGTAGGTGCTCCAACTGACCTCATCAACTTGATCATGTACATTCATGAGAAGGCAGAATTGATCATCAGTCGGCACGATAAAGAAGTAGCTGCGGAAATGGGCAGGGGAATTCGGCAGGGGTGTGGTCTCTCACCGCTGCTCTGGCTTGGTTTTACCATCCTTATCTTTGACACTCTAACTCGTTATCTTCCGGAAAACGCCTTGACAGGATATGCGGATGACTTTCATGCCCAGTGGAAGTTCCAGCATCCACGCGAGTTTCAAAGTGCTGTCATTCAGATTCGCTCGGTAATTGGGGACTTGCGCAAGCTTGGCATGCAACCGGCCATTGACAAAACCGTGATACTTCTAGCGATCAAAGGGAAGGCTGCGCCGAAGCTCCTTAAAACCTTTACCACCATGAAAGATAAGAAGCGCTATCTGGTTGTAGACGTATTAGGTGACCCACTGCTCCTCCCCATTAAAGAATCGCACTTGTATTTAGGCACCAAGATAGGATACCACCGTTTTGAGTCGGATACTGCCCAGCACAGATTGACACAGTCCTGGATAGCCTTTCACCGGCTGCACTGTCTGTTGAAGCATCCTGGCATACCCCTTAAAAGACGTCTGCAGCTTTGGCTGACCTGTGTTTGGTCTATCACCAGCTATGGATTATCGTCTGTAGGTGTGGATGCAGCCAGTGCCGACAAACTTGTGTCACAATCCATGAGACAGCTGCGCATGGTTTCTCGTAGTCCGTCGCACATCACGCATGAGAGCAATCACCAGCTTTTACAGAGGTTAGGCCTTCAGCCAATCCTTCCACGTCTACATGAGTTGGCCGAACGCCGGATTGCCTCAAGCAGTGCTTCGGTGCGACATATCCAACCGGCACGTGTGCACCAGTGGTGGCAATTTGCATGTCAAAGCTTTTTAGCTCACGGTTGCCCATCGCCGGATGGAGTGCGTCTCGTAGATGTCACACAACTTGTACATGAGCGCCACACATGCCCCACCTGCAGTCAGGCTTTTCCAAGCTTCCATGCACTAACTGTCCACATTGGTAAGCAACATCCCTCAACCCGGCCCCCAAAAGAACGCAATGTCACTGTCCGCAATAAGAGGGATGACTCGCTTAGACGATTCTCAATTGGTGGGCTGCCACAGTGCAAATTCTGCCTTAGGCGTTTCAATGCCTGGCCAGCGTTCTTTGGACATTTTAATGGTGACTCCTGCCCTAAGTTTCCTACCAGCACCCTCCGTACAGAACCCCTAGATTCCTCAATGCAACAGGGCCCTACTGTTTTGATGAACTCCGCTGATGGGGCGTCCGCGCCGGGAGCCAGTCAACACAGTTGCCCTGCAGCACTTGCGCCATCGACCGCAGTGCAAAATCAGGAACCAGCCGCCAATGCTCAGCCGCTGTTCTATCGTACGGAGCTCCAGCAACTGGCTAAACAAAACATGCTTACACAACTGGTAGATGCCATACATGACAGTAAGTCGCTTAATCATTGTCCAGAATGCTGGCAGTGGTGCACTGGTCCGTCATATCTTTCGAGACATGCGATTAAAGCTCATTCGAATGTGGCGGAGCATCAGCAGGCAGTAAGAGATTGGGCCCGAGCCAGAGGACGAGCACTTAGGCCGTGTGAGTGGTGCCGTGAGTGGTACAAGGCCAGGCCAAATGCACATGTACAAACCTGCCCCATCTTGTGGATGTGTGGGCACTTCTTAGCTCGTTTCTCCTCCCTGGGAGACCCCACACAAACCACCTTGCAGGATGAGCGACTTGCAGCTCCAGGAAGCCTCCGCAGAGCTGGAACAGTTCGGCAAATACATGGCCCAAGCCCAGAATCCACTGCCGACCACGTCACTTCCCTCCACGGGTCCTCCCTCGCTCAGAGATCCTTCGGAGCTTCAGGAGGCCAAGGAGGACATGGAGCTGGAGAGGGAGAAGCGCAGTCCACCCAGGGCTGCTCAGGAACCACTTGCAACGAAGTTCGCCAAAGGGGATGCGAAGGGGGCCCTTCAGGAACACAGAGAAGCCCTCCACACGGGGAAGGGCAACACCGACCCGCAGCTGGACAAGACTGTGGAGCAGGAGACGGGATTGGGCAAGGACCAGCAGACCGACGACTCCAAAGTCCAAGCAGCACTCCGGCCAACACACCAGCCTCGCCAACAACGGGGAGCATCAAGACCCAGTGGATACGGACCGGGCGGCTTCATGGGGCACTATGGCACCAAAGACCAATGGGGCCGCTCTCAGTGGCCTGGCAAAAGGGCAGACAAACCGCGGCGCACATGGAACTCCGAGGAGGAGTCAAATCCGGAGGCCCTGAAGGAGATCATTCGGAACCTCACTCGGTTGGTCGTCCGTTTGGAAGACACGGTGACGATCAGCAACCTCGATCAGGAATTCGTGATATTCCTCCAATCGGAGGCCTCGGGAAACCAGTGGGCGATCACTTCGGCGCTGTTCAACACAGCGCAGGAGTGGAAGAAGAAGAAGGAAGGCGATCCGAGCAGCCTCTCTCAGCCGCTCCGGAATGTGCTGTTTTTCTGTCTGTGGAAAAGCCTTCACAGCATGCTCCAGAAGCTAGAGGACCCCGCGCACCAGACCACCTTAGAGAAGGCACGCGAGTTCGGACTGACGGAGAACGACAACTACGTGTACCTGAAGTGGGATGCGCAGAGCAAACAACATGTCCGGGACGATCGTCAGCCTCTTTCGCACACAGAGGCAGTTCAGACGGTGCTGAACATCCAGCAGCTGTGCACTTTTCCGGACGTCATCGGCAGGTTTCACGCCATGCGGCCTCTGGTGGCCAACCACTCGTCAGAGGTAGTGCCATTTCTGTTAACGATCCAGAACAGATCCGTAGCCAGCCAACAGATGCATGCCCTGCTCCATCGTCTCTGTCGCAATGGATGCACACACCTAGTTGCGATGACGATGCGGCCAGCCAAACTGGGCCGCAGTCCTTTGGCCCAGCAGTTGGAGAAGCAAGTGCAGAACCTTTGAGGGTCTCCCCAGGCTCGGTGCTTCATCTCACGCTACTCAATGATAGCATGCACTGTTATGCCAATGCCCTTCTGCTGGCCCTGTATTGGGCTATCTCGCAACTCTCGACAGGCTTCCGCTTCGCCAACCGTGACCTGCACAGGCTGTCCGGCTGGTTGCTGAGGCGCCCACAGCAGGTTGAACTCTGGAGAGTCAGAGCCTGGACACAGCTCACACAGTCCTGGCAAAACCCGCACAGACAGCAGGATACGAGTGAGTTCCTTCTCTTCCTACGAAGAGCAATTCTAGGAGATTCTCTATATGGGCTGTGGCAGTCTAGAGAAGAACTTGCCACCTCCACTGAAACGCAGGTGCTTGATCGAGGAGGCATCTGGCCTCTTGTAGTTTCTGTGCCGCTCTCAGCTGGCACCAGCAGTGAGGAACCCACGTCGTTGCAGAAACTAATCATCGCCTGGAGAAACCAGGCGGCTCGCCACGCAATGGTGATCCCGGCTGATCTACCTGAGCTGTTGCCTGTGCAGATCAACAGATTCAGTGATAGTGGTGATAAACTACTAAAGGAGGTTCTCTGGAGTAGTGCGGTGTATATGCCGATATACACGAGTGCAGGCCTGCAAACCACATCGCAAAGGTACTTAGTGGTCTCGGTGGTTTATCACTTGGGTTCAACGCGCTTGCATGGGCATTATCGTGCAGCTTTTGCCCGCAATGGCTCGCTCTGCCATGTGACAGATGACAATGCTCCTGCTGAGCCCATCACAGTATCTGACGTGCAGTGTATACAACAGAATTCATATTTGTTCTTCCTAAGGAAGGCTTGAACCCAGATACCTGTCGTCCTTTCTGTTTCTGGTGACATCAGCATCAGTGGAACTACCCAGGACCCTTTGAGGCGTCACAAGGCTTCCTTCTTGACTTTTTGGTGGCATCAGCGTAACTAACCTAGGACCTTTTGGGGCCTCGCGGGACTTCATTCTCTGCTTTTGGTGGCATCAGCGTAACTAACCTAGGACCCTTTGGGGCGTCACAAGGCTTCCTTCCTGGCTTCTAGGTGGCATCTGTGTAGCTAACCCAGGACCCTTTGAGGCCTCGCGAGACTTCATTCTCCGCTTTTGGTGGCATCAGCGTAACTAACCTGGGACCCTTTGGGGGCTCGCATGGCTTCCTTCTCGGCTCTTGCTGGCATCTGCGTAACTAACCTAGGACCCCTCGGGGTCTCACAGATACCTGTACACATGTTTGACTTACTTTGAGTCGTGACGGAGTGCTGCCAAACATTTAGGATCCTCCTGGCTCTGAAGAAGGAGTTTTCCAGGATATCCTTCTCTCCTACTGTCTAATGTTGGTTATAAGGGACAAAGGGTGCTGCTCAAGGGGCGATCTCGCCGGGCACCTGGTCCTGCAGGCCTTTTCATATTACCGTAACTTGATGTGTCATCTACTCTAATCATCGATTCTTCTGGGCAGTGGGAGGCTTTTAAAAGAGGGAGTAGCTGAGTTCCGGGGTGTCATCTCATGAACGAGTTGGCATGCGTCCCTGAGACGCCGGTCTAACCGCCCTGCAACGCGAGACACTCTTGCGGCGACGGAAGAAATGCATGGTGTGTATGTGTGGGGGGGGGGTGTATCAACGACAAACTGGTCCACTCTTCAAGGCTTTGAAGCTTTACGTTCTTGAGGTTCTGGTGTTTGGGGTTCTGTAACAGGCTCGCCGTTGAAAGCCTCTGAAAACTGTTGCTACACGAGATCCTCATATAAAACTTTTAAACCCTGACGAACTCCAGACGCGTACTCGGTTCGGAGACACAGGAAGACAGCTAGGCTGGGTACTCGCGGGAGGCAGCACGGAGACCTTCAGCCTCACACGCTTTCAGGATGGGTTCTCACATGATGCATGGCATGCCACACACAAGCGAATAACGTACAGACATGTGGCTCTCTGTGTACCCACAATTTAGCCACGGAGATAATCAACAGCTGCAAACGCTTTGTTGAAGGTGCCCGCGCCTAAATTCTACGACCCCAATCCAGCCTTTTCATCATAGTTACTTGGGCATATAACTCTAAAGCACAGGCTTAACCTTAAACTCGAAGCCGCAGCCCATTTTTCAAAAGCCCTACAGTCCCAAACAGAAGGACCCTGCCAATTAATTGAGACGACGCCGAGCTGGTGGCTCCTCCAACTGCGACATCCTAGACCGAGCATAGCGCTGGAACTCTATTGGAGTAGATTAAGTAAAAAAGACAGTGTAGTACAGTATAGTATAGTAACATCTAGTATAGTGCAGGATAGCCTAGTGTAGCAGAATATAGTAGAGTATAGAAAAGTGTAGTGCTGTGTAGTGTTGTATGACATAGGATAGACAAGTGTAGTGCAGCGTAGTATAGTATGGTATAGTATAGCATAGTCTAGTATAGCATAGAAAAGTGCAGTGTAGTACAGTATAGTGTACTATAGAGAAGAAGTGTAGTGTTAGTATAGAAAAGTGTAGTGTGATGTAGTATGGCATGCTGGAGCATATTGAAAAGTGTAGCGTGGTGTAGTATATAGTCTCGTATTGTGTAGTAGAGTGTGATTGGTGGGGCCTAGGGTTAATAGGCCTTGATTGGGTTTAGGACAACTCTATGGAGATTCTGCGTAGTTCTGCTTATCGATGACTGCGGCTCCTGGGAAAAATTGGGGAAAATGCATAGTATAGTAGGGGCCTTAATCATCTTAATAATTACAATGGGTTTTGGGTAGAGTATGGTATAGTTATGCAAAGCACTCCTGAGGAACAATATTCAAAATTAGTCACGCTTCTGCAACCTGTGCACCGAGAAAGGTCTCACTTTTAGGTGATGCGTAGACTACTAGGTGATCCGTAGTCTGCGGCGCCCCCGATGCTAGAAAGCCCCGGCCCTCTGCAGCTTTCAACCGGTGTACAGAACCGTTTCACAATTTCTAATCTTAAATAGACCCGGCACCCCGAAGCTGCTAAGGCTCAAACGCGATAGGCCTCCTCGATTTTCAAGCCTGGCCAGCGAAATCTGCATACAGAGGGTTGGAGTTTAGGACTTCGGCAGAAGAGTGTAGCTAGGCTTTCAATGACGTGGGTCGGTTTCGGCATACTGGTTGACCTGGCTTCGAGACGTGGTCAGAGTTAGCTACGACGCCCGAAGACCTAAACCCTCCCTCTTGTTGTTGCACCCTAAACGCGCCCCGCAGTCGAGAAGTCAGCTACGAGACCCTTGACAGAAATCGTTCTGGACTATGCACAGAGGGTTTTCCAAGGATGTTACAGTTCAGGGCTTCAGAGTTTTAGTTTTTCGGTATCTCGGGTAGATCTTCACACTCCGTTTTGAGTGGTGTTACAATGTCGCTGCGTGGCCGAAACACATTGTTGGCACCATGCCTGTAATATAGGGTCCTGAATAATTAGAATAGGGTTTTGGGGCCACTTATTCTATAATTATACCAAAGCTATAATAAGGAACCCCCCAAAGTAGTAATGGTAATTCTTCATGCCCGTATAGTACGGAAAACAGAGCTGGAGTTCTGCCGAAGCCGGCCATACTAGAAGGCCTATAAACCTGAAACCTGCACCTCAAACCCGAGAAACCCAAACTCTAGAACCCAACCTGAACTGATCCCCCAGCCCCAGAACACAATACCGTAAACGAACCTGCAATCAGACCACCGTCCAAAAGCATGAAACAACTACGGGATTTGGGTACCCTAAACCATAAACTCGACCCTCCTCCTCCTGAGCCCTAAAATACCCTAAACCCTAAACCTCAAACCCTAAAGCCCTAAATCCTAAGCCTCCAATTAAACCCTAAAGCCCTAAATCCTAAACCTCTAATTAAACCCTTAAGCCCTAAATCCTGAGCCCCTAATTTAAACCCTGAAGCCCTAAATCCTAAGCCTCTAATTTAAACCCTAAACCCTAAACTTTCCTAAACCTCGAATTAGACCCTAAAGCCTAAACCTTAAACCCTAAAGCCCTAAATCCTAAACCTCTATTTAAACCCTAAAACCATACACGACCCTGAGTCAGAGACATTCCTGGGGCACGAGCGTGCCACCTCGGCAGCCTCGGCCTTGCAGACTCTTTTGAGGGTTCTGGATTTAAGGTTTAGGATTCTGGATTTGGGGTTTAGGATTCTGGATTTAGGGTTTAGGGTGTAGGGGTATTTAGGATCTAGCGTTTACCCCATCCATGTACCCACATAGTATATACACTTTGGCCCCAAAGTACCTGTATAGGGACTACTTTAAGGCCAAAGTATACACTCGTTTGGTACATGGACCCTTAGGGTTACAGGTCCAAGATGCTGTGATGAGACGCCAAAAGGGGGGGTTTAAGATTCTTGGGGTAGGGGTTCCTTAATATGATCCCTATTATGGGAACCCTAATCCCTACCAAACCCCCATAGGCTAAAACCCCTTTTGGCCTGCTATGATACCCTTATAAATCCCTTTAAAGGAATCCCCATAGATCCTTTAAAGGAACCCTAGGGATCCCTACCCCCATAGGCTAAAACCCCTTTTGGCCTCCTATGATGCTGAATTACGAGTTTAGAATTGCAGGCCCAGGGCTGGCGGGGAAGCGAGTTATAAAGCCTTGAAGCATGGTTCACTGCCTGGCTTAGGGAATGGGGGAATGGATCCTTATAGTAGTCCCTACAAAATCCCCAGTATTAGTCCCCATAACACATCCCCCTAATTATTCCTACTGAGAACCAGACAGTTTAGGTGTGGGGCCGGGTCGACGTCGTGCGGTTAGCGGGTTCGGCGGTGTCGGCACAGCTGAGAAGGCCAGCCTTTCGCACTTCGGCCTTTCTAAATGCATGTGAGTGTGCAGTCAGAAGTGCTGATACTCGAAACCGTCAGCTCTAAACATAATCTGAACTCGAGGCAGGACGATTTCCGAATAGTATCATTATGTAAACCAACCAATATGGGAACACACCTCAAAGCATTATGTACCTCTGCAAATCGCCAAGACGAACAGACCGAAACAATCAGGATGCAAATACTGCAAGTACATAACAACAGTTTGATCAATGTTACCATGACCACCAGTACTTGATCACCCAGGATCGGCCTGGACGAACACAGCAAGAAACAAATGCACTGTTAATACCCTGAACCTGGGTTACAACTGATCAAGTTCATCACCAGCAGCATCTTCATCGTCACCATCGTCACCACATCATCACCCTAAGACCTAAACCCTAAACCCTTATAGATCCCTTTAAAGGAACCCCTGTAGATCCCACATGGGAGTTTCCGAAAATACGGGACCCTGATATAGTACCCAGAATAATAGGATCGTTATTATAAGGGCCCTACAAAAAGGTACCCCTAATTTTCGGAAACTCCCACATCAGCAAGAGTGCGGAGTGCGGCTGCCTCCGCAGCGTGAGCCGCCGCACGCTGCTCGGCCTCGATGCGATCAGCGCCGGTCCTCGGGCGCGGATCTCTCATTTGGGAGTTTCTGAAAATTAGGGGTACCTTATTCTGGGGTCCCTATAGCAAGGATCCTACTATTTAGCGTACTATATTAGGGTCCCCCATTTTCGGAAACTCCCATTTAGAAGCCTTAATATGCAATAGGGTTATGGGTTTGAGGGGTCTGCAAAGGATCTATAGTAGGGCTCTATAGTACAGGGGCCTCGGTAATTGGAACAGGGATAGGGTTTGGGGGGCCCAGGATACTATAGGCCCCACTAAGGCCCCGATAGTAATGCCTCCGTTGTTGCTTGCCTCTTTCGTATCATGGTTGAGAGCCAGACATGATACGGCGGACTGAGTGGGAGTTTCATACTTTCTCATGCTTTGGGGCTCATGCTCTGGCTGGGCTCTCTTTAATTAGGGGCTTCATTTAAGCGATAATAAGAAGGAAACCTTAGTAATGTCAAAAGACCCCAGAAATTGGGGCTTTATTTAAGTTACCATAATAAGGAAACCAGATTAATGTCTATAGATCCCCAAAATTGGGGGCTTTATTCAAGTTATCATAATAAGGAAACCTTCTAAATGTCTATAGATCCCAAATTAAGTTATCATAACAAGGAAACCCAAATATGGTAACCCAGCCGAGTGTAAACCACCGCCCGGGCGACCCGGCACTTTGTCCGCGAGCCGATGCTCAGCTTCGTCCGCTCTTTTCGACGAAGCCTTGGCCTTGTCAGTTGTTACTTGGAGGTTGGTTTAGTGTTTTTTTTCAGCGCCTCTTTTCCTCCTTGGTTTAGGGGTTTAGGGTTTAGTTCGTTGGTAGTTATAAGTGGGGTTATAAGTGGGATAGCTATAGTTATAAACCATATTAGGGGACTTAGAGCCCTACTTATAGCTACCCATGAAACTCCAAGTAGTCTGGGTTTAAAGTTTAGGGCTTAAGGTATAGGATTCAGGGTTCGGGGTATAGGGTGTAGGATTTAGGGTTTAATTAGGGTATAGGCTTTAGGGTTCGGGGTTTAGGGGTTTGCGGTTCAGGGCTGGAGATTGAGGGCAGGGTTAAGGGTTTTGTGCTCAGTGAGCCTTCGGGGCTTATGGTTTCGGAATCACTGCTTGAGGTTATGCGTTTTTTGGCCTACTGGCCAGGGCTTAGGGTTTGCACTGCAGTGTCGATGTGCACTCAGTCACGGTCTGCAGAATGCTTCTTAATGAAGCTTTTTCGGGCTACAAGTATCATGGAAGGCAGCTGGGGAGTCTAGGAAGGCCCAAATCCCCGCAGCATGTCTCAGCCGTGCCGAAGCCAACATCCCCAACCCCCTGAAACACTGGAAACCTGGATGCAAGCCCTCAACCTCCAACCCCTGAGCCCCAAACCCTCCCTAAACCTGGGTTTAGGGTCTAGAGAGTTTAGGGGTACCAAACCCGAAACTCCGATAACCGTCCATCAAACCATCCTTGCCGCCCTGCTGCCAGCTCCTGGAGCTGGAACTCCCGCTTGCCTGGAGCTGTAGCATTTGAAGGTTGAGAGCTGGGATTTAACTTAAAGTTTCGTATGCATTTAAGGAGATGATTTCTAGGATGTTTTCGGGCATTCAAAGTTTGGGGCTTGAGGCTTTGGGGGATTAGGGCTTTTTGGGTGAGTGGCAGTTAAAGCCAAGCTACTGCTACTTCTACTGGTGCTACTGCTACTGCTACTGCTGCTGCTGCTGCTGCTGCTGCTGCTGCTGCTACTGCGCGTAGCAGCTACTGCTACTACTGCTACTGCGACTGTTGACCACTATTACAGTACGCACTAGTCTTGCTATATGCCCGGAACCTTACAGCGTGAACCTGAGCGGGGCAAGTATTTACGACGTGTAAGACGACAGAAGCCCGTAAGAACAAACCATGTGTGACTCGAACAAACAATTGATGCTCGAAGTATGTAGGGCTTAATTAGTTTGTGTGCAGGGTTTGAGTTTATTCTACTGGTTTAGAGTAGTCAACCTGTCCAGGATTTGATAGGTGCTGACATCCAAGTCTTTGAAGGGATTGTAGTACCCCCGACGACTTCAAGGGCAACCGCTGGCTCCGGGGTTTAGGGTTAAGAGGCAAGGCTTAAAATTAGGGTTCGGGTTCATGGACGACGCTGTTTACTATTTTAACAATGCCGCAGCTTGCTTTTGTGCCCCAGTCTGACTTCAAGCGAGCCAGGACCATGGTGGTGCAGCCATCGCTCACTGAACCTCCTCCACCCAGACCCCACGGATCCAAAGTACATAACAGTAGATGTTTGAGTCTAGGATAGTACTAGAACTAGAGATACACGTGGACCTTTAGGGAGACAGCTTGAAGACAGCAAGCACCGGAAAGTGGTCACTGCTATAGTCTCTGTCTCTAATTTCTGCGACAACGACAGCTTCTGGGGACAAAGCCTGCTGCTGCACTGCCGGCTTTACCAGAATCCAATCCACGTGCAGTCTGGATAGCGAGCTGGGTAAGTTGTGCCAAATCTTCGGCACATCAAGCTGCTTTAGGATCCTAAGGGCTGCGCGGCCAAGTTCGCGAACATTGCCTGGCACTGCCTTCGGAATGTCAACGCCGCAAGCATGCACGGCCTGAAGGGCAAACTGGAAGGTGCGGAACGCGTATGTGTTGACAGAGCTGCCGAGCCATCCGTGGAAAGTTGCAGCAAAGTCATGAGACAAACATCCAGGAAGGCTTTTGCACAACTCCCAACTGTCGCTGTAGCCTCCTTTTAACAGAAGGCTATGTGGTGGGTGACCGTTTGCAGTGTTGAAATCGCCCGTCAAAACAATGCTGGCGTTTAAATAGCGCTGGCTCCAAGTGTTGCTGTGTAGAAGGAGCAACTTTGCTTGCTCGAGTCTGGCCGACGCACCCCAAACATCCAAGTGAGTGTTCAGATGCACGATGTTCACTTCCGACCCACCATCCCTCAAACGAAAGGCAGCAATCGTAACAGTCCGAACACCAACACTGTCCCAACTTTTGCTGCCCGGCGATCTTGGTCTTTCCGACAGCCATATGTGGTCGGTCTCAACCAGCTCAAGGTGCCGAGAGTCGTACAGTATGCCCGTCTGGTAGTCGTTAAACCGGCGGGGGTCTGCTCGGTCTATGTCCTTGTGACCATTACCTTCATATCCTACGACTCTCCAGTGACTCGCCAAGCCTGACTGCAAATGCAGCAGCTGACCCGAAGAGGGCTCTTGTAAGCCGATCAGCCAGGGCTCCATGCGGCCGATGAAGCTGGACAGTCTTCCGACGCGCTTGGTGTAGTGGTTGTTGGCATCCCGTTCTTCCATGTCGATTCTAATGTTGTAAGTCATCACAGGCAAGCCCTTGCTTCCCAGTGCATGCCTCACTCGCTCAAAGGCCTCCGTAGTCTCCGCATCCTCAAGTTCAGAATACCGGGGAAATTGAAAGACAAACCCGAGGAACATGGCCAGAGCCAGGATGAAGCACGCGACTCCCTTGCACCGCATTGGGTAGCCCGAGGCCGGTCAGCCACAGAAGCCTCCGGGGTCCCTAGCGCAAACCTTGAACCTCAAAAGCCGACCAGTGCGTAAGCGCCTGGGAAACAAACGGATAAATAAATAAATGAATAAATATGTATAAATAAATATAGATAAATACATATATATATATATAAATATATATATCACTTCTCTATAATATAGAGGTATGTGCAAATTATACACTCGGATACACACACGCACACACACACACACACACACACACACATATATATATATATATATATATATATATATATATATATGCACAAAGACATGTGCACACAGCAACCTTATAGGAAACTGCACCGGAATCGGATCAGACCCACATACCACACCACCGACGACTGCTTCACTTTAATAGAAACAGCAGCGAGGCTTGACGGCCACATGGACAGGCACAAAAATGATGTACTAATTACCTTCCGAAAGTCTTCAAGGACTCAGTTGGTAGGGGTGAGGTAACGTATACCCAATCCTGGCTGAAACTCATAAACGTGACTCCCCTTCGCTGCGGTGGACGCCACATTTTGAGGCTTTCGGACTCGGGGTTCTGAGGAGCTTGCCAGAAGTTCAGGCCACCGAGGCAGGCGCTTTAACAAGACAGAACGACATTATCGTCAAAAGTTCTTGCGGCACGATAGTTTGGGGTTTAGGGAAGCCCTCGTTTGAACGAAAACAAGCCCAAAATCCTGAACCCCTACACCTCTACACCCTGAACTTTAAATGGCTGCAGCGACTCTCGCCGCAAGGTCGCAGGTTGTTACCGGGCTCTGGCACTTGATCCAAGTTTGAGGGCTTTAAGATAACACGGGCTTAGGCTGTAGGATTCAGGATCCAGAGGATTGGGGTTTAAGTTTAGAGGTTTGGTGTAGAGTTCTGGTCTGAAGGTTGAAGGATTCCCTACAATCTTGAAAACCGCGCTGAGCATCCGACTGCATTCCTTCTGCAGCTTGCCCACGCGCTGCTCCATTTCGTTTTTGAACTGCTCTCGCATCTCCTTCGCCATACCAAGCATTCGAAGCATGAGAGTGGTTCAGGGTCTAGGGCTTATACCGCTCCCTAAACCCAGAACCGTGTCTCGCCTGGCTCAAAGAACCCAGAACCCGAAATCCCGCAACCATATCCCGAATCCCCAATGCTGACATTCCCTAAGCTACAAACCCTCAAGGCTGACGCCCGAAACACCCATCACACCAAAAACTTCAGGCTTCCGCCCTCCAACAGGTGAGATGTCATAAGGGTCGAGAGTGTAGCGATTGGGAGGTTTCATGAGGTAATCCCAAGAAGGAACTACTGTGGAGCCTATGGGTGGGTGCTGGTTGCCGAGGCCCACGGTAGACGCAAGCGAGGAGATCTCAGAATGGTCCTGGAAGCGATGCTCGTACGTATCCGAAACGCCTTCGGATCTTTGTACCTGGGCCAATCTGCAGGCACTATAACTATAGGGGCCTTAATCATTAGAATAGGGTTTTGGGGCCCATGATACGATAGTTATATAGTTACAAAAAAGGAACCCCCAAAATGGTACTGGTGATTATTTAGGCCACCCCGCAGGTTATGCTTAGAATTCGGGCACACGGTTAACGGGTGCTTGAAGCCCCAAATAGGTTCTCGTAGAATCTCCTTTTACAAGGATGTGTGTGTGACAATTCCCCACTTGGAAGGGCAGGGGACTTAGTAGGTAAGTTATAAGTAGCCTAAATGGAGTTACCCCAATTATAACCCTATTTATAACCTACTTACTAAGTCCCCTGCCCTTCCAATCAGCTCTGGTAGCCCAGGGCCCTCCTGAAACTCTGAAAACACCGGGGCCTTAACAATTTATTTTTACGAATGTTGAAACTTCAGGAATGAGGAACCTTTAAGGGATCAACTTAAGGAATGAGGAACCTTTAAGGGACCCTTATGGAATAATGTTGGTAAGTATTGATGTCTCTGAAATATACCAGAACAACGCATCCCTGAGCTCCTCAATCCCGGAAAACCCCGGACCCCAAACCACAAAATCGACAGAAATGCCACACCTCAAACCAGAAAACACAGAACACACAACGACAAAAACGAACCCTGGAAACGACATCTCTGACTAGGAAGTATCAAAGGCATGTGGAACCCTCGTCAAGAAACACAGGCAAACTTGTGTAAACAACGACAGCACTTAATCATGCACCCCAAACTCTTCAATGCACAAAGTCCCGAAGCTATGACACCCTTGAGTTCAGTGGCACCTTATGAACAAAAATGTAAACCCTTGGGGTTTTAAGAAACACTGCAGAACTCCCTGCGAATGGCCCAAACTCCTGAAACCCAACCCCTTGCAGTTCTGGAACCCCGACAAGAGTCTACAAGCCCTTACTGACACCCCTCACTCGAGGAGCCAATCCTCATTAACTGAGCACTATGAGAAAATGCATCCCTCTGAGCGGAGGGGGAAGTCCTTCTTCTTAAAGGGAAGTCCTTCTTCTTAAAAGGAGGTAAACTAGGGCTCTCTAGTATAGGCAATGCCATCTGATCGGCTCGGAGCTTCTGCCGCTCGTGGTTGGCCTTGCCGCAGCGAGTTTCAGGGGGTTGGCTTGTAGGGATTAGGATTTCAGGTCTTCTGGCTTGGGCTTTGGGTAAATAGTGACAGTTTGTGGTGGTAGCAGCAGCCGTAGCCGTAGCAGTAGGAGTAGTTGCAGTAGTAGTAGTAGTAGTAGTAGTAGTAGTAGTAGCAGCAGCAGTAGTAGTCGTAGTAGTAGTAGTAGTACTGTAGTAGTAGTACTGTAGTACTGTAGCAGCTGTAGTAGTAGCAGTAGTAGTAGTAGTAGTAGTAGTAGTAGTAGTAGTAGTAGTAGTAGTAGTAATAGTCGTAGTAGTAGTAGTAGTAGTAGTAGTAGTAGTAGTAGTAGTAGTAGTAGTAGTAGTAGTAGTAGTAGTAATAGTGGTAGTAGTAGTAGTAGTAGTAGTAGTAGTAGTAGTAGTAGTACTAGTAGTACTAGTAGTACTAGTAGTACTGTAGTAAGTAGTAGTCGTAGTAGTAGTAGTAGTAGTAGTAGTAGTAGTAGTAGTAGTACTGTAGTACTGTAGGACTGTAGGACTGTAGGACTGTAGGACTGTAGGACTGTAGGACTGTAGTACTGTAGTACTGTAGTACTGTAGTACTGTAGTACTGTAGTACTGTAGTAGTAGTCGTCGTCGTCGCAGTAGTAGTAGGAGTAGTAGTAGTAGTAGTAGCAGCTGTAGTAGTAGCAGTAGTAGTAGTAGTAGTAGTAGTAGTAGTAGTAGTAATAGTCGTAGTAGTAGTAGTAGTAGTAGTAGTAGTAGTAATAACCGTTGTCGTGGCAGTAGAAGAGCCGTAGCAATAGTAGGAGGGGAAGTAGTCGTAGTGACGTCGTAGTGGCAGTGGCAGTGGTAGTAGTGGTCGTAGTTGTCGTGGCCGTGGTCGTGGTGGTGGCAGTACTGTGGTAGTCGTCGTCGTGTGGTGGGCTTGCTGTTCAGCACCCACTCACAGCAAACCGTTAGAGGGGTAGGCAGTGAATCCTGAATAATTAGAATAGGGTTTGGGGGTAAATTATACTATAACTATAATACCGAACCCCCAAAATAGTATAGGTAGTTATTAAGACCCCTATATTAGACGGTAGGTATAGATACTCGTAGGAACTCCCGAGCCAGAAAAACCGACATCCCTCAACCCCTGGCCCAATGAAGTCTCAGACCCTACCTCGGAGAGGTCGTTCAGGCAGTTTCTTAAGCCTCCGTAAGGTTACGGCCAGGCGTTGATGTAGGACTTTGGAGTTCTGGGCTTCAGGGATGCGACTTTTTTTGTCAATGCGAGGGGGTTAATTCGTGGAGTCGCTTTCGGAGGTTGGACTGTAAGGGGGCGGGTACTACTTAGAGGATCATGGGACCTAGTAACTAGTGATACAAATAAGGCAACTACACTTATAACTCCAATTAGGGTACTTATAACCTTACTTACTAACTCCCATGATCCCCATTATAGAAGCCCTATAGATCCCTCTAAGGAACCCTATTATAGAACCATAAAGGAACCCTAAACCTTACTTACTAAGTCCCATGACCCTCCAAGTATGGCGAAGGCAAATCCCGTGACAAAAACCTCAGATCGTGACCTGCAACTGTTTCCAGGCTCTTCATGCTGCCCCCTGAACCCTAAACCCTAAACCTCTAAACCCTTAACCTCTAAACCCTAAACCTCTGAACCCTAAACAGGGTATAGGCCTTTGGGGATTTTGTGGTTTTCGGGGTCTTGGGCTTGAATACGGCTACTTGCCCATCTTGTATCAGGGCGCGAACACAAGCCAGTCGAGCCCGAAACCCTGCACCTGAAGCTTCCTGGCGCCAACCATAGAATGGAACCCGAAAGCGTAGAATAGTAACGTGAAGGGTTCGGGATTCAACGTCTTTCAGATGTGGTTGAGTGTCAGTGTGTGGCCTGGGAGGCAAAGGAGTTCCCTTGACTCTTCTCATACTGACAGTACACACTCCATGAACCTGGAACTATAGCCCCGAACTAGCTGGTAATGACGACGATGCTGCGGCCATGCTGCTGCGCAGCTGGTGATAATAACCAAGCTGATCACGATCATGATGATGCTGAAAATGACGACATGGTGATATAGTTGACGTTGGTGAGAGGGGTGGTGGTGTCAAAGGTAGGTATATACAAATGTAAACAAATAAATATGCATATGCATATGTATATACGCAGTGGCAGTGGTGGTGGTGGTGGTGGTGGTGGTGGTGGTGGTGGTGGTGGTGATGGTGGTGGTGGTGGTGGTGGTATTGGTGGTTGTAGTTGCTGGCGAGCATGCAGTTGTGGTTGGTAGTGGGAACGGTAGCACCATGTCAATGTGATGATGGCGATTGTTGTGACAAGCACCATAACCAACGGCGAGATCAGCGTTCATCTAGCACAACGATTAGGTCACAAGGTTCGCTAATTAGTTATGCTTCTTGGACATGATGCTCCGACTACCTTTGGGTCGAGTTGCGCTCCTCAGACAGCTGGGCCCTGCCTCAGTTGCGGGACTTAGGATGCAGCAGGACTCGGGCTAGGTGCCTCCACCCTCTTATTAGAGAATGGAAAAGTGTAAGGATGTGTTGCCAGGAGTTGCGGTGACGCCGACAAAAGGGAAAAGATCCCGGATGTCACCCCTGGATAAGGAACCGTGACTCGACTTTAAGAATGCACCAACATGAACATTGACAGAGCGTCAACTGCATGGAATTCAGGAATGTGTTAAAGACTGCTTCTGGCTCTTTAAGCTGCTACCTACAAACTACTATTACTACCATGTTACTACCATATTACTATCATATTACTACCATATAATTATACTACTACTAGCTTCTTTTCTGTGAGCTGCTACATCTATTTGAGGGCGGTGGGATCAGGCGTTCGACTTCTTTGGAGCCAGGCTTCTCAATATCTGGGTGGTTGTCACAATCATGGTCCCTTTTTGGGTACGCCAAATATGAGGTCCGTATTGTATTAGGGAGCCAAAAGAGGGACCATACTTTTGACAACCACCCATCTATCTCGAGAGTTTACATAGGGCAGCGGCCTGGAAATTGCATACGTTTACTGTTCACTGATTTTACTGCTCACTCAGGCATACCTAAACCTAAACTATATCCTATACCCAAAACCCCAAACTGCAATCTGATCGGGGGCCATGGTCTAGACCGCCATTCTTGGCCAACACCACCAGGACCATTTTTGTGTATGACTTGCCTCACTTCCTCGAATTATGCAGCTCAGGGGCTGTTAGCAGCTTCGCCCCGTTCCCAGAGATGCTGTTCACCTTGAGCAGCTGCGGTCAAGGTTTTGGATTTTGGGGAGCCCGAATGCGGAAATGGAAGCTGGCATGGAAGCTGTGTTGAAGCAAGCGTTGCTGATAAGCCTTACCCACCAGAAAATTTAGCATACATGCTTAGTTAGTTTTGCTGCTGCTACTTGCATAAGTCTGACATTCGAAGTCAACACTCCTGTGCGGCTTTGTGGAGACCTTCAAACTGCCCCTACAACCCAAAACGCACACAGCTCCAAAACACTGAATGCTTCCTTGTACATTGGGCCCGGGCTGTCTCAACAAAAACACTATCAACCGCAAACTTGAAGCCCTCTGAGCCCCGAAGCCCTTTACCAACATGGAGTCAAGCATGCTAGTGAGGCGCCCCTGAACACTACCAGAGAATGAAGGGTTTAGGGTTGGGGGATTCAAGGTTTGGGTTTAGAGTTCTAGGGATTCGGGTTTAGGGGTCTAAGGGCAGGCCTTTACACCCCGAACGAATGATCTCTGTCTGCCAATAGGTCAGTTGGGGCTTGAATGTGGTTCACTGCCTGTCAGCTGAAAGACCTTACGGTCTTTAAATGTTGGCCTTCACCTTCCCAGCTGGCATACGCAAACGCATGTAGGGACGCGAAATCTCGGGCAGTAAAAAGGGTCGATAGCATACCTAAACGGAACCATAAAACCTTGAACCACAACGGCATCCTATACCCTTAACACACGTGCACACACACACACACACACACACGAACAAGAAAACCAACAAACCCTGACCCCTTACCTTAGACCTGCAAGCCCTACTACCAAGCATTGCACAAGCCTAAGCTCGCGCGTCTTTCAATCCGGGCCTCCGTTTTGGCCTCACAGAAGCTTCTTGGATGGAGGCCCCTTTTGAGGCTTGGACTTGGACTTCGAAACTCTGAAAACCTGAACCTCCAATCTTGGGGTCGTAGGGACCCGATCCTTATTAGAGGTGCTAAGGCCCCCTACCCCCCCTGAGGGTCCCGACGATTGGGTTTAGGGATCCGACGCTCTAAGCTCCAGGCGAGCGCTCGCATCGTCGAGCTGACGCGCGATCTCGAATTTCTCACCTCGGGGTGGAGGGATTAGGGTAGTATCCGAATTACTGGGGATATGCCATAATATCGACTGCAAAAACCCGGTAACCCTCAGCAACCTCGACATCTCCTCCGATAATTAGCTCTCCTGATGCTGCAAGTGAAGGACCGTAGACCGCTCATTAATAAATCCAGTTTGTTTTCAATGCCTCAAACTAGATAGGGGTATATTTATCGGGAGAATTCTGAATAGGGGTTCGAGAGGCAGAAGGATCACAGGACGTGGCCTTTGCAAAGATACTGATGCAGTACCCGTAGGATTTAAGTTTCGGGTTTCGGGGTGTAGGGTTTGGCGCCTAGGGCCTAGGGTTTAGGGCCTATGGCAGGTCGGGGCCGCGAGAATGGAGAATGCTGTGCGGCTTGTTAGAGTAGTTGGGACCACGTCTGAAGAACGCGAAAGAATCCGAAACTACGACCACACCCAGAGACCAAATCAGCACGATTTCATAATATACGTCCCAGTTGGATACAATAGCACTCTCACCTCATACGTCTGCAGCAAAGGCACGCATGCAGGCCGTGGTGTCCTTGGTGACAGTGTGGTCCGCGCCAAAAGACTCTGAGGGTTCGTGTACCCATACATCACATGTACTGTCCACCGAAATACCTACATAGGCCTTCCAGGCGACCCGTAGGGAAAGCGCATCTGACAATGTGAAGGCTGCTTGGAGACTATACGGGCCTTAATAATTAGAATAGGGTTTTGGGGCCCATCATACTATGATTATAACAAGGAACCCCCCCCAAAAGATAGTCTTGGTAATTATTTAGGCCCCTAGATTAGGCAGCCTTCAGTCTGGGAACCGGCCTGAAACCTGAAATGCCCACAGCCACACAGGTCCCAGGTTGAATCACCAGCGTTCGAAGCTCTAGCTCTAGCTATTGTAACCGAAGGCCTCAGCGTCGTATGCATTCATTCAATTCCTTGATTCATTTCGTTCCATTGCATTCCCTTCCTTGCCCCTCCCTTCCATTAATTCATTCATGTATTCATTCGGTCAGTCACTCATTCATTCATTCAGTCAGTCAGTCATTCATGCTGCATTCGTGCATGCAAGCATGCATGCATGCATTCATATATACATACAACATGCATACCTACCTACCTACATGCATACATACATAGGTACATACATACGCACTTAGTTACTTACATTAAATTTCCTTAGGTTAGAGTAGATACATACATACATACCTACCTACATACATACCTACATACTTACTTACTTACATTAGATTAGATTAGATCAGATTACTACACGAACACATACCTCATACATACCTACATACCTTCATACCTACATACATCCATACATACATATTTACTTACTCACATACATACACGCGCTTACTATCTGTCTATGTGCTTCTTTCGTGATAGGTTTATCTATTGGTGTAATTTGTCCGCTATATAAAAACTATGGATTATAGACCTGTATGTGGCGGCTACAAATTATAGGTTACAAGTTATATGTATGCATATGCATGAACATGAATGCATCACGCAAGCTGGGGAGTGCTGTGGAGTTTGGGGTTTACGAACCACGAATGGCACAAGGAAGGGTAACACAATCCCGTAAAAGTCCGAGAAGTTTAGAGCGGCCCAAGATGCTCCAAGCTTCTAGCCCTCGACTCTAAACCCTGCATCTACGCTAGACCTCAAAGTATACGCCATACCCAGAGACTCCCAAAACCCCCCCTAATTAAGGAACATACATACCTTAAACTATCGTAGGATCCCTAATCTTATTCAAGGTATATTCCTTAAGTAAGGGGTTTCGGAGTCTCTGATTACTCTCGTCCCATAGACCGCAAGCTCCAAACCCAGAAAGCAAAAAACAAGCCCAAAGCCGATTCTTCAACCAATGTAATCTTCACTTCGAATTCTCATACCAACACTTAAAGCCGGAAGCCCTACACTACGCCTGTCGTCCGACCAGAAGCCTGACGATCGAAGGGCTGAAACCCAGATTCCTCAGCCCGAGCAAACGAACCCTGTATTTACGATTTGGGGTTACGTGTCGGGCTTGGGGGTTGAGGGCTCAGGACTTATACACTTCCTTAATTGGTTTGTTGAAATGAAGGGCGTGTTTCAAGTTATCTTTTCGGGCAGTACTTCCGAGTCTAGTGAACCACCAGAGACAGAGGACACGCGGCCTTCAAGCGCAACGTTAGATCCAGAATTCCCAGTTAAGGGCTTAGGTTTTGCATAGTTTAAGGCAGTCTAAGGCGAAAGTACCAGGTCGGGCCACCCCAACATCCCCAGGGTCCGAATCCCCAATAATCACACCCCCCCACCCAAAACCTACAGCCAAGTGCCGAACTATTGGACCTTTGAACCTGGAACCACAATTAAAACACACTGAAAGGGAGGTATTTTGGGGGGCTTACACATAGAAGGACCGAACGAAGCAGGAGATGGCTCTTCAAGCCCGGCGGCCCCGCCGTCTCCACCGTCAGGAGGGGCCGACGTTTGCCACGGCTTCACCCTGGGGTAGTTAGGGCTTACCTGTAGCCGAAAAGACCTACCTTTCCGGGGTTCTGTGTATATAGTTCCCTAAAAAGGTAGCTCTGTTCCGCCACAGGTAGGGTTTATAGGGCTTACATAGGGCTTTTAGTTTAGTCGTAGGGCGCAGGTCTTTCTGGGCTTAGGGGTGTCGGGTCTTCAGAGAATCTTGAAAGGACAATGCAAAGCGAGAAATACCCTACTACTACTACTACTACCACTACTACCACTACTACTACCACTACTACCACTACTACCACTACTACCACTACTACCACTACCACTACCACTACTACTACTACTACTACTACTACTACTACTACTACTACTACTACTACTACTACTACTACTACTACTACTACTACTACTACTACTACTACTACTACTACTACTACTACTACTACATGCTCAAGCCTCAAACTCCTGCAATGCACAGCCCAAACGTTTACTCTACGACCATGCAATCGTGAAGCCCCAGACTGCCCAATAGTATCAGTACTAGTAGTCAGGTAGTAGTAGCAGTAATAGTAGTAGTAATAGGAGTAGTAGTAATAGCCGTAATAATAGTATCCTCAACATTACTAAAACCCCTCTCCCGAAACTTTGAAAGTGCCCCAATAAATCCTCAGGCCTAAAGCCTCGAAATCCTACTGCCCTGTAAAAACCCTTTTCAAAGCCTCTATAACCCTGAAGAGCCGTCGGGTATGTAGGCCCTGTTTAGCGTAATCGTTGAGCTTAGGTGCTCTAAGCCCCAGGCAACCGGCCGAAATGGGGCACAGAAAAGGCCTCTGGCGGCTTATATAGTGGGTGCTTCTGCTACTGAGCCCTAAAGGGCGGAAGTCCGAAACCCTGAACCCATGCTCAACTACGTCTGAAGCGGTCTACACTTGCCTGAAACTCCAAAGTTAAACTCTAGGCAACCCTCAACCTGACCGTTTGGGTCCAAGTTCCTGGTGACCCTAGAGTCTTGCAGGTACTCACCTATGTTACTAGTAGCCTAAACCCGAGTACCTAGTTGATTGGGTCCTTCGGGCCTTTGCGGCCAAGACTCTGCAATCAAAACGAAACCCTGGACACGAAACTCCTCAAACCCAAGGTTCAGGGTTTAGAAGTTTGGCCTAAACCCTGCACGAGCCCTCCACGGGCGTCCCCCCAAGGTGCTAGGGCGCGGGCGGAGCCGCTTCTTTGAGCGGCTTTGCCCCCCTTGCGCACTTTGGAGCTTGGGGGTTAAGTGATAGGTCTGGTCTTTGAGATGAGACTGGCGGGATCGATAGTGGAAGTTAGGGGGGACGGAGAGGAGAACACACACACACACACACAAGCAAAAGCACAGCAGGACCCCCGAGGCTGACCCAACCTTTACGTTGGTAGCCTCGACGTGATGTGACACGAAATCACACGTAATCCCGAAATGCAGACCCTGGGTATCATTGTCGGCAAGGTCGGCGAACCCGACTAGACTGAAGCCATACAACAATGCAACTGAGGAACTATCCCTTGAATCAACTAAACAGCAAGGGTCCGGGAAAGCATGAAGTATCGGATAGTCCACCGTTACACGCATGAGCGTCAGAAAGCTGTGAGTTCAAAAAGTAAAACGACGACATCTAAGCTTCAGGAAAATGAACGCACTCGCTCCAAAGCAATATGGACGCCCAAATTACCCCATTGGCTGGACATTTGACTCAATCAATATGTTCCACAACCAGCTTGCAAAGACACATCCTCGGAACCCTGCTAAACCTTAACTATATTGAAACAACACTATATGGAGTGTCTGCTGGGGACAAGCAAGTTGATCTGACGCGCCCCAAACCCCACGCCCGAAAAGCCGCCCCGCCCCTGAACCCTACTCTCTACCTAAACCCCCAAAAGTGTGCAAACAAAATGGCCCTGCACTTGTAGAAAGGCCATTGTTCTACATACTGGTTGGGTCTGGGGCCACCATAGGCTGATAGAACCAGATTTAGTTAGGTATTAGAGCTTAGTTGCGGCTTCTCGGATTGAGGGTTTGGTTTAGAGGGTTTTGGGTTTCGTTGCCGTTTGGGATTACGGTTTAGGGTTTAGCTTCAAAACCGCTGAACCCCAGAACAGCGTGGGTCTTTGGCTTTAGGATTCACGGTCTTAGCTCGAGTCACCATCTCTGACTTCCTTTAGACCCATTTAAACCCTTAACCCCAAAACTCCCTCTAGGACTCCCTCAAGCCCTCAAGCCTAAACCCCAAAACGCCCCCAAACCTCTAAACACTAAAGCCGTGGGCCGACAGTGCCGGTTCACCGCCACATGGGTAGTTCTCTCTAAACTAGGGTGCCTTGCTAGGCCTCCACAATAGTACGGCACCCTTATAAACTGCCTAAACAGGCACCCGAACTTAGAGAACTAACTATCATATAATATAATAAGACGCCTGACGTTTAAATCGATGCCGGGATGCTCTGAGGGTTTGGGTTTGGCTGCTGCTGGCTCCTCTTCGCTGAAAGAGCAGACGGGCGCTTGGAGTCTCTTCGGGTTCAGGATTTTCAGGTTTTTGGCTCGGGCTTCCGGGTTCTTTGGGTTTGGGCGAGGTTTGGGTTTTGTGGCTAGGGGGGTTAGGGTTTCGGGATCACGGTCTTGATGTCCGAGGCTTCGCCATGCTGGTTTCAGGCCTGGCTTTCAGAAATCGGCGGCAGCGGAGGAATGAAAACTCTACGTAGATTTGGGAGTTTCCGAAAATAGGGGACAATAACAGGGACAGCCAAAAGAGATAGGCCTTTATCACAATGTAGGGTCGTTTTGACAGCAACAAACGTGCCATGAGGGGTGCATTCACTCCCCCTGCATACCATCTTTTTCGACTCTGCATGAACGGTCCAACAGCGCTGATTGACCTGGGCAGACACCAGAATATGCAGACAACAGGAGACAAGACAGGCTGTGAGGGACACCGGCAAGTAGCAGATTTTTTCTCCCCTGCATCGGCACTGTGTGTCTCTGGGGCCGAGATGGAGCCGACGGACATCTGAGCAAAGCAACCCCTCACACTGATATTGTAAGATTGTGATGCTGTCAACACGACATTTGATCATGATGATTGTGCCAGGGCTGATTGCTCTTAGGAAAACCTAGTCCGAACATCCTCCTCTGACCTGAGACTTGGAATCACTGCTGTGTTTACAGCTGCAGCAGTCAGTGCAAGGTGGAAACTCAAATACAAAGATCCACAACATTCTTGTGCTTGCATGATTCTCCTCTGACCTGCACTGAGTGCTCTGCAAAACTCACTTCCGCAACTGCTGCTTCACAGCTGCAGTACTCAGTTGGGACGACTCTCAGGTGAAAAAATCAATGACTTCTTTTGCCTGCATGATACGCCCTTTCACCGACACTACTCCGTAGCCACAGGGCACCAACTTGTTCTGAGCTTTTTGAAAGCCCCAAGCCAGACCGATGCTGGTCCTCCTGCATGGCTTCAGCGAGCTTGTAGTGAAGTGGCTCACATTCTATGAGGCAATGGTTTCCATCTGCAACCAACTGTCCTCAGAAACAAATGACAGCCAATCAACCCAATGCCATCAAATCTGGACACAGTCGGAACTTGCAGTGCAGCCCAGATGCTTGGAACAGTATCAGCTGGGAATTCCTTATACCCATGAATTTTTCCCACTCCGCTTGTCTTCACCAGCTCCTTCATCGTGCAAACAGTCTTGGGTGTCACAGACATATCGATGACCAGGTCAGTCATCGCCACCTCATACCTCAGACATGCCTCCGGAAACTGTTCATTGTTGACACGGATCAGCTTGCCCTGTTGGTAGGAGGTCACAAGCCAGTGCTTCGGCAGCCTCCGATTCACATCGGCCATACTCCGAATTCGGATACCGAAGCCTGACTCTGAGGACGTGTCGTTTTCCAACAAAATGAAGTCGCATGGTGGATCATCGATATGCTTGACAATCGTCTCCTGCAAGTTCTCTTCGTCCTCGTCCGACCTTTTCTTGCTCGGGGCAGTGGGGGGCTCTGGCTTGCTTTCTGGAACCTCCGCGGGCTCTGGCTGGTTGCCTGTTGGTGTTGCTCCAGGATTCTCCTCCTGCGGAGTTTCCTCTGTCTCCTTGGCAGCGGCTTCCGCCTCCGACCTGGTCTCCATCTTCACATCCTGCACTCCCTCGCCCTCGACTTTGGCCTTGAAGAAGGATTCCAGACGTGGTTTCCTGAGCCCAGCTACAACGAATTAACGGAATGCACCATCAGTGGATAGCGAATTGTCAAAATCTATAACATAGCCACAAAACAACGGTGCATGAGAGTGGCTTGGCACCAGTCAAATCATAGTCCAACCCATAACTGACCAGAACCTCACACTTTGCACCGATGCCGCAATTGTTGCGCGTCTTTGCCTTCAGGCTGAGGCATCCTGCAGGGCACAGCGTGTGCATTGGCCGGAAATCAGCCGACAAAATACAATGGAAGATGCAGCTAGGGCACCAGGGTTTGCTCCCTTCGTTGCATCGAGACACCACTCAGCATTCGGAGAAGATCGTGCTCCATGGTATGAGTTCACAAACCGTGCTGCTCCTAAGAGCACACAATACATCGTCTTCGGAACCTGACACTGGAGAACTCCTTGCAGGCGCATGACCTGAGCAAGGCTGGAGCAAGCTGGAAGGGGGTTTGTCTGATTCGAATTTGGCATCACTAGTTGCACACCCAGCAGCTGCATCACTCTGACCCGGATGTTCACGAAGGAATGCAAACAAGACCGGCCAGCCACTGAAGATGAGGCACGAAGCTTCAAGAATTGTTTCCCCTTCAGGCACAGCCTTGAATACATACACTCCTTTGCCGCGACCCTCATTGCTCTGCAAGTACAGATTGTTCTTTTCCAGTTCACGGTCCACCAGGCCGTTGAGAAACTTTGGCAAGTCAGTGGGCACTTGATCTACCTTATTGGATGGAATGAATCGAAGTACCAGCAAGAAGTATCAGAAGTTCAGGACACAGGCAGAGTCTGCTTCAACTGCCAAGCCAAGCCACACCAGAAAAAGGCACTGAGGAATCAACGGGCACCTCCAAAAACTCGATGATCTGTTGCCCCGAGATGTGTGGGCTCATCATCACTTGTACGTCCGCTTGGCCCAGAAGCCTCTTCCGTGGTCCTGTGCGTTTGTCAAGGTCCTTGTATGCCACACGGTAAAAATATTGCAGGGCAATTTCCTTTGCGTGTGCCATCGAATGGCGGCGCAAGCGGTCTGCCAGTACAAAGCAGTCCTGAGCTAAGAACTGTCTCTTTCCGAGGCTTCGTCATTCAGTTCGGGCTTAGTATTTCCACAAATGCAATCTTGCATCTTGCATCTTGCATCTCGCTTTGGCCCGCTTCCCCGAACAAGAATGCTGGGCAAGGGGGCAAGGGTGGGTTGCGCGATACCTCTGACAGATGTTAGCAGGTCGTTGCAACGCACCGGTGCTTTTTGCAAATACTCATCCATGGTGGCTGTCAAGGCCCGACCCACATAACGGATCCTAGCTGCATCAATGTGAGAGTCCGCGGTGGAATGGAACAACATCTGCAAGAGCAGGTCGCCGTCCACCCTTCTACTGCCATGGAGCGCGAGCCCTGTTTGCACAAACAGCGCCGCAGTTCCTGAGCACTCACACAAAGCATGCCGTATCATAACATCGCCTTGGTCACAGAAGGGGCAGCGCTCCAGCTTTTCCAGGGGCTCTGACTCAGACAGCAAACTGAGGGGCCAAGTTCCCGTCAACCTCGCAAAGGCCCATACCTTTGCAAGTTTCCACTCCGAGCTGCGCAGCACTGGGAGTAGATGAGACCAGTTACACAGCTTTCTTTGGCACCCCAGCGCAAAGAAATCCGACCCCAAACCGACCAGGAACTTTGAAGCAGCCTTCATAAAATCAGCATCGTCCCTAGCTTTCATGACTGGCAACAGAGTCTTGGTCTTGTACAGCTTAAGGAGGTTCTTTCGGATTGCACCGTCCCACCTGGCCTGTTCCAGCATCTCAGCTGGGCACAAACCAGCATCTTCTATGTGAGGGAGGGCTCCAGTTGCAGTGGCACTTGCTAACTGGTGCCTCAACAGCTCCACTGCATGCCACCAGGTGCCAGTAGGCAGAGATTTGGCAATAGCCAACATGACCGCTGCCGGATGCTCACGCGGTAGCAGTTGAATTTTGGCAATGACTGAAAAGATCCTCAAGAGAGCTTTGGAAGACAACCTCAAAGGCCAACCTAAGACAGCGACCGCAAGGGAACCCCGCAGGGCAGACCCAGCCTTGCCTGCTAAAATCGCCTTTGCCCAATCGCCTTGCAGTGTGTCCAGTTTTGGCAACACGTCAGGGGTCAAAGCGAAAAGCTCGGACGCATACAACACCACTGGCTCCACCCTCTCAACGACTGCCGCTGCATGCACCGGCGGCGGCAGACCCAGTTCCCGCATAAGTAACGAGAGTTCCTCAAACAAAGCTTTCCCGATCTGGACCACCTGCTTTGCTCGCTTCTCAAAGGAGAATTGGGAATCAACAGTGACCCCGAGAAGTTTGTAGGACTCACATGCAAGACCTTCAAGGATTGTCTCAGGGGAGTCCATGCAACTCATAACTGCCGTCTTGGTGGGACCCATGTTAAACTGGGCATTGGCAAAGCGAGAGTAAGTTCCAAGCCCATGGAACACCGCATGCCTCACATCACGATCAGTTGCGAAAGGCGTCACCACATCATCCACAAACAGCAATGGGCCCAGGGCAAGGGACCCTAACATCTCTACACACTGTGCGCGCTGCTGACGATCAGGTACTTTGGAAAGCAAATGAATTGCAAGTCTACGCGCATCTGACGGCGATGGTGCTTGAGCGACAGCCGCAGCTACTTGCTGCAAGCTTGGCTGCTCACCCAACCCACTCAACAAGGTATCATTTGGTGCAGGGGACAATGCCGCCCACAACCCTGAAATGGCATCGGCAGCAAAATCCGGTAGCAAGGACTGCGACGGGGAGCACTCGGTGAGCAAAACCTCTCCAAAATGCTTAAGCAGAGCCGTAAAGACCTGGACGCTGAATTTCCGACCCTGCGGGATGCCCGCCCGAAGCGTCAAGACCTGAGACAAGAGTCCTGCCAGCATGATATTCGCGGTGTCCATTGCAAGAAAATCGCTCAGCAGACGCCACTCCACCTCAACCACCCCTGCCAAATACACTGAAAAAAGCATGCCATCATGACTTGCGGTGTCAAAAGCCTGTTGAATGTCAGAGAAAAGCAAGTAGGTGTCAACGCCCTGGTAATGCCTGATTTGCACGTGAAGAATTACCGCTAGGATGACCAAGATGGTGTCCATTTTGCCACCCAGCTGTCTCAGGTTTGTAAAAGCATCCAATTGCCGCTTACATCTCGCTAGCCATAAGGCATCCTGCACAGCGGCCATATCTGCCGTTAGGCTTATGGGCCTAAGGCAACGCAGCTTTCTGACTACACGTGG